TGTGCTAATATTGTTTAGACAGGATATCATGCCCGTATCTTGTATTGTGAATAACTACTGCAAAGACAACAATACTCAATGTATTAATTATTGTAACTCTCCTACTAACTTGTTTTGAAATTCTGTTTGTTTTTTTTTGTTTGTTTGTTTTTTCTCTGGTACCGGCAACCGAACTCACGACCTTGCGCTTGCCAGGCAGGGGCTTTGCTGCTGAGCTAAATCCCCAGCCCCCTGAAATTCTGTTTTATTGTTATTTTTATTTTTTTCTCTTAAAAACAAAAGAATTATAGTGAGAAGATGGAGTTTTTCAGAAAGCAACATGCTTTCATTTAAATGAGCACCCTTTAGCACAGTTTCCTAGGAAGGACCAGTAAGGGCCTGGCTCTCAGAAAGGTTTTACCCTCTGGCTTTTCTAGATCATCAAATAAGAAAAAGAAGAGTGTACAGGGGTGGGGTGGGGTGGTAGTACTGTAATATGATACTCTCCCAATCAAAGCATTTCCCCCAAAGAGGAGAATAGTCATTCATTTATTGCAGAAATTCTTATTTCAGAGCACCTGCTTTGTGGCAGGCAGTGTGATTGTGAGAATATATCTGTGCATAAGAGAGAGCACACATTCTCATGGGACTTACAGTCTCACAGAACAGACAGATAAATATACAAGATAATTATAGGTTATGGCAAGTGCCATGGAGGAAACAGGCTGTGCTTGAGAGGGTGGGGATCTGCTTTATTTATAGTAGGAAGGCCAGGCCTTGCATAGAAGGTGGTGCTCACCCTAGTCTAAGGGATAAGGAATGGACCATCCAGAGAATATGGAGGATTTCAGGAATAGAAAGGTCCCAGAAATGACAAAAGGGACAAGGTCAGATGGCCTGAAGGAGATAATAGGTGCCAGAACCTGAGCAGCTCTTTATTGTCCCAGGGAAAAATGGTGAGGAGGTGAAGAAAAATAGACAAGAGATGAAAGCTGAGGTCAGGTGGAGCCCTCTCTCCTGATGACAGAAGAGAAACTGAACAACAGTAGGGGCATTTGTTTATACTTCAAAGTTAGTATTATGAGACAGGGTTGCCTAGTGACTAATGACTGGAATTGTCTCAGGCAAAATGTTTTTCTCAGGACCGAAGTATTTCCAGCTTCAGCTGCTCCCAACAGAGAGGGTCTTGGACTTGGGTTATGCCAAATAGGAATGGAGAAAACTGAATAAATTTGAAATAGGGTCAAAATAAGAATCACAAGACTTGGTAATGGATGGCACATGGAAAGTGAGGAAGAAGAAATAAAGGAAAACGTGCATGTTTTTGGTTTAAAACAATTATGGGGCCAGTGCTGTTTGTTGACATGAAGGATTGCTGAAGAAGAATTCTGCTTGAATAAGCTGCGTTTAGAATACCAGAGGGACTGTCCAATAGGTAGTGGGATAGACAAACCTGGAGCTCAGGACAGAGAAATGGGGGAGTCATTGGTGTGAATAAGTGGCACTTATGATGGAACTGAGACCATCTTGGATAATGGTTCTCAACCTTGGCTGCATAATAGACCACTTGGTGGGCTTTCAAAGCCAATCTTTCCCCTGGGTGCACCTTCAGGAGTTCTGATCTAATTGTTCCAGTGTGGGGCCTGGACGTCCTTATTTTTCAAAGCTTCCTATAGGAATTTTCTCCAAAAGGACCTCTGCTCAGGGGAGAAAGTGTGGCCAGAAAGAGGACCTAGGACCAAGCTTTTTTCTAAACAGTGTTGAATACAGTACAAAACGTTTCCATTTTCTGTACCTTCTGCTGGGATGAGCTCCTCTTTGGCCCTCGGGCTGAGAGTTAGTCCTCCATACAACATGACAGAGTACCCTGTCTGGATTGGAATCACTGTCTCTCATAGTCTCAATTTCTGTCCTGTGTCTCTCATAGTCTCAATTTCTGACAGGATGGCTTGGGTGCTAAGGATTTAAGTATATTTCTCAGATGATCATTTAGTGTACCCTGATGTGGTTTAGTGGTAGCAGGCATTTGTCATGGTTGAAAGATGAAAAACCTGTTTGGCTTTTGCTTTTCATTGTACTTTAGGAATTTGTTGTGGTTGTGGTGGTTGCTATGAAGGGGCAGATATCTACATGGAAAAATATGTATGTTTTTAGGTATATTCCTCTCCACATGACTGTTCCCTGAATTATTTATTCTGGATTTTCTGTAGAGACGTGGTAGCTCTCTTTGATGATAACCTCTAAAATATCATTGAGGCTTTAAAAAATTTCACCTGCTGTTATATTTTTCACACTTAGCAGTGCTGTTTAATTCCTTTACTCTTGCCTACCCCTCCTGTTACTACAGCACTGGCCTAGGAATAAAAATGTGCTCATACATCCACACACAGAGCTTGTATCTCATCCGGTCTCCATGAAAACCTAATGAAATGGCTGTGGAAAGTGGAGGCAAGGCTTATTCAATTTTCTTATGACCCCTATCCCACATAAATTCCCAGTGTATAAAGGAACCATGCAGGATCTTGTGGCCCTCCCTTTGGCCTTCAGGGAATCTGCCCTTCCAAAAATATGGCCTATTAAAAAAATAACTTCCAGGGACAATTCCATAAGCTTTCTTGTTAATGTTGAATCAACACCAGACTAATACTTGTGTGTTTGTGTGTATGTTTGTGGAATAGACCCCATGGATCTGTGACAAGTACTGTATGACTCTCTAATTGTGAAACTAGTCATACCCAGCAAGATGTACTGATAGAAATGTAGTGAGTTAGGCTATAACCATTTGTTTGTAATAATGAGTAAGTTATTAGCTTTGTTATTGAATCCTTGCTATTATTCTGTTTATATTGAAAATCAGCCTTAATGTCTCACTGGGCTCAGTTCTCAGATGTCTCTCTCTATGATCTGAATTTTTAATTTTTTAATTTTAATTTTTTTTTTTTTTTTTTTTTTTTGGGGGGAAGGGGGAATTTAACCCCGAGGCATTCTTAACACTGAGCTGCGTGCCCAGTCCCTTAAAAAAAAATTTTTTTTAAAATTTTGAGACAGAGTCTTGCTAAGTTGCCCAGAATGACCTGGAATTTGCTATTCTCCTGCCTCAGCCTCCTTAGCATGGGGGTTGAAGGTGTGTACCACCAAGTCTGGGTGATCAATACATATATATTTTTCGTTCTCTGGAGCAGGTGGGAGAGGAAGCTAAAGGTTAGCATTGATGGGCACGTGATGAATGGAAGGCTTAGTCTCTTGGACTAGTCCAAGTAGAGGTAGTCACTACCTTTAGTCATTTCATCTGTGAACACTTTTCTTGCTGGGGTCTCAGCTGTTTTGAGTCAGCTCTAAAAGTCCTTTGAGTTGTAAAATCTGTTTGTAATTGGCATTAAAAAATCATAGGTGATGGGGAAAACAATGGAGTAACAAACAATGCATTTCTCTGGTTTTTCTTGATCATTCTACAGCGGGGTCCAGTCCCTCAGTTACAGCAAATGTCCAGAACTTGCACTTGCAGGAGCTAGGGCGGTGGGTGCCTTTTTGTTAATGGGCCTAGTTGGAACACATTTGGCCGTGGAGACAGCTCCACTCATATTACCCAGTCTTGGCTTCCTATCTGTTTTCTTTGGGCTGGGTAGGCAATGAAAAAGGAGACAGGAAAATACATTTTGGGGCAAATAAAATAAGGAATTTGTCTTATGAAGACAGCTTATAGTTAGGGATTGTAATGTTCAGTTTAACCCTATTCTGATACACTCTTCTTACTCTGTGTTCCCGTAGAAGACATAGTGTTCACACTACCCATAGAGTCATGAAGAACTTCCATTCTCCAAGTTTTCCATAATTCTCCTGGAAGATAGTTTTCTTTTATGGGGGATAATCTTAATTTCCTTAGTTTTTCTTCAAGTACAGATTCCTAATCCACTCATCATTTCAGTGGCTCTTCATTGAATCACCTTCACTCTCTTAAATATTTTTACTACAATGTTGGGGAAACATACAGGAGCCTCATGGGTACAGAATGGGCAGGTACTGTGCAGGGTATTTCTGTTTATGTTCTAGACATTGTCCTGCTTACCATGCCATCCCCCTATAGCTACATGTATGTCACACCACATTCTGATGTTTTGTTGTACTTGTACCAAGAAATACTGTGCTCCTTTGTTAGGAATGAGTTGATGATTTTTAAGAAGTCTGAATACCTTGAGTATATCTTAATTTCCATGTTTCTTTAATATCCAGAATTTCCTTGGTTTTAGATTTGAATAAGCCAGAAGAAAGTTTTTTCTTTAAAAGATGATTATCCCAGTTATGTTTACCCATGTTTTCAATTTCTTTCACAAAACCACATAGGTTGAAAATAAAAAAGCACCCATTGACTTAACAGTTTATTATACGCTTTTGAGCTTTAGTGTATCACAAAACTACCAGATTCCACTTAAGAATTTGAGTTTCCTTATGTATAGTTCTATTTTTTTCCTTTTTCTCTTAAGAGGATTCTAGGCTTGAATTTTAATTTTTCAGTACAGTGTCTCAGCAAGGGGTGGATGTAGCATTAAAAAAAAGAGAAAAAAATCATGATGGTCATTGTGGAAACTTCTCTTTGAAAAATGTGTGCCCTAGTTTCTTCCCCCACTTGCTGAACGTGTGTTTGAGTTGTATGGACACTGAGCTCTCAATCGAGGCTTCTCCCATCATGAAAGAGGATGACAGGCCCCACTCAGTGTGCACCCCCTTTACCCACAGAGAGGGTAGAGATAGCATTCACAGAACTCCTCTTGAGCTCTCACTCTAGCTGGCCCTATGGGACCCTCAGCTCTCTGGTTATAGAGCAGAACTAGAAAGGCTTGGCACCAGATAATGCTTAAAAAGCAAATTGGAAAGGAAGGCATTCTGTAGACACATGATTATAAATATCAGTATTGAAAATTCCTTGGCATAAACCACCCAGTATGTATGTTCACGTATCTATTTAGCATGGTCATTTGTTCAGCTAATTAATATGCTTTTATTTTATGATTTGCTGTTTCCAGGGCACAGACAGAAGCTTGATGACTCTAAACCTAGTTTGTTCTCTGATCGCCTCAGTGATTTAGGGCGCATTCCTCATCCCAGTATGAGAGTAGGTGTCCCGCCTCAGAACCCACGGCCCTCCCTGAACTCTGCACCAAGTCCTTTTAATCCACAAGGACAGAGTCAGATTACAGGTAAGACAGACTCCTAGGTCTCACTGGCAGACGCTGGCAGGCTGGGGGTGAGGGGCTTCCAGGCGAGATGTGTTCAGAATTCCTGGAGCTATGTGATGGCTTGTTCTGAAAGAATTGAAACTGGAAGATGCAGATATCTTCCATTTTTGTTAAAGGATTCTGATATTCAAGAAGGTTTGGATGAAACCTGGGGGGGAAATTTCTACCAGTGCTGTCCTCAGCAGCAGCACCAGTGAACTGCTCACGGGAGGGATGGTGGTAATAACTGCTCTTTGGGAGATGTGTGTTATAAGTTACTGTATTGTGTCCAGCTGGTGCCAGGGAAAACATCACACCCGCACTATTAGCGAGTTAGTGTTACTTGCTTGGCTTTGGGCTTAAATTTCATACATGTATAACAGTTTCATTAAGTTTACTTAAAAATTGCCCAGGGCTAACAGGAAGCCTTGATTGGTAGTTAGCTGTAAGACGAGGTCAGTGAGCAGCTCATCAGGCCGACAGAACTTGCTTCTGATTCACATTTAGCTCGGGTTCCTCATGCAGCGGTGCTCTTTATACATTCTAGTAAGCTATTTGACCTTTCTTCTTAAAAATTAACGTAAGCGTTATATTGCAGGCTAACCATTCACATTTGGTGCATTAAGATCCCAGCTTCTTCCCCCCCACCGCCCCCGCATCCCACTTGTGCAGAAACAGACCCTATTTTAAGACTAGTTTGACTGCTTTTAGGTCATGGTGACAAAAGAGTGTGTGAATCATCACAGATTTTAAGTCTGCAGATTAAAAGTATTGAGTGGAAAGGAACACTACATGTAATCTAACTGCTGTTGTGGATGGAGGTGGACGACAGTAGAGGCAAATAAGCCGAAACAAATCATAGAATAAACCCTCAACATGGATTTTTTTTAATGGTTAAATTTTTTTCTGCAGTGGTTAGGCTTGAGTGTCCTTAATGGTCTCAAAAAACAGCATTGTTTATACATGAAATGACTTACATCTCTTGCTCCCTGTCTGTATTATGTAAGTGTAATTTTGTATATTTACTTAGAGGAGGTTTCACATTCTGTGGGGATATGTTTATTAGTTTGAACAAGAGTTTGTATGAGTGTATAATTTAAAAAGTAATGTAGAATGGTGAAAATAAAATAGCTAAACAATAGAGAACCAGGAGTCTATATAGAGAACATTAGAACTCTGTGAAATAGGATTTAGGAATCAAAATGTCAGTGTATTCACTTGATATATGTCCTTAATAAAAATGCAGGGGTGAAATTTATACTAACTTGTTAACTTGAAGCATTTTATTACACTTACTGCTGCATATAAAGTAGTGGACTTTATATCACTGATGAAGGCTTATAATAGCTGTCTGTCTTCATAAGAGAGAGAGAGCAGAAGCATGTGTATTTATATATTTTGTAATGGACTTATGATGACTTTGTGTGTGAGAGAGAGAGATTTGGCAACCACTGTGTTCTTTAAATGTCTGATTTCTATATTCTATAGTTCTTTAACTATTTGCCAATTATGTTATGTTAAAGAGTCATCCTTTTAACATGACTTTGAAACTTTCCAGATACTAGACTCACTTAAGATACTTCTTTCTTCTAAAATCTAAAGATGAGAGCATAAAGTAGAACCAGAGAACATTTTAGAATCTAAAATCTAAGTTAAAATCTAAGTACAGTTAAAATCTAAGTGCCTTAGGTATCATTAAGGCACTTAGACTCTAAAATCTGAGTGTCTTAGATATCATTAAACCAAAACCAAAAGGAGAAGTTGTGGAGAGGTCTTTGTCTTAGCAGCATCCCTACACCCCAGATGTGCACATAGAGCAAGGCTCGGAGGGCATGGGGCCTCAGAGCCCATCAGGATCCCAGACTTCTCCCCAGACCTGGCTCCTCAACCTCTGGGGGCAGTGACTCTTATCTTCCTCCCTCTTTTTTTTTTTTTTTTTTTTTTTTTTTGGTTTTTCTCCGGTACCGGGAACCGAACTCACAACCTTGCGCTTGCCAGGCAGGCGCTTTTGCCGCTGAGCTAAATCCCCAGCCCCTCTTCCTCCCTCTTAAGAGGCTCTGGAAAGTTGATTCAGGTCAGTGACTGTCTTATTGTGTCTATTTCTAAATATGGAAGTATAAGACAGGTTCATTTTTAGGTTCTGAGAGCTTCTTGGATGTTTTATAGGAGGGTTAGCTCTTTATTCTGGGATTATAGTACTAGTAGAATTGATGTATAAACAGTCATTGTTGTTGTCTTCCTCTCTCTTTCCTGCTTTCCTTACCCACAAGGTGTTAGACTGACAGCTTCTTTCAGATTTCTGAAATATTCAGGTATACACATATACACCTCCATCCTCCTGAATCTTGGCTTTGTGGGCTTTACTGCTACAGAGGTTAACACAAGCACCTGCCCTACCCAGCATCTTCCAGAACAATGATTGCCAGGAGAACCCAAGGACAGCTGGAGCAGCAGGCGTGTCAAAGCACATTGAAGGCATTTAATTTTTAAATCTCTGGACTCCTTTTCTTGTTTATGATTTAGAGCCTCCCACATGTAGAGAATTGGGTCTTGGGTAAGGTGGGGGCAGGGGAACAGCACCATCCCTGAGTCAGTCTAGTGGAAGGGATAGTATTCCTCCTCAGGCCTCACAAGCCACCCTAAGCCCCAGTAACTGTTCCTTGAGCCCATCTCCTTCCTTGTCTCTTTAGGGAGATCACCTCTTTTTCTCTGGTCTGTCCACTGATGTGACAGCATCCATCCTTCAAAATCTTCATGTTGTTTTCTTCAAGAAAGCATTCTGGAACCTTCATCTGAAGGCTGCCTGACCATTCCCTGTGTGCTAGTTGAGATTGTCTTATTTTCCAGCTTCTGCCTTTGCCTCTTCTACCTTGGTCAACTGTAAATTCTCTGAGGGATTTATCACAGGGATTTCTTTTCTTTTGTACCTAATCCAGGAGAATGTCTCATTAAAACACTGAATGAATGAAAGTTTGGATGAGAAGAAATCAGCGTTAGGAAGGGCTGGAAATTATGCCTTTCTTGTTAGTATGAACTGTTCTTTCGAATTCCTTATCTCAGGGTGCCAGTGTTCCCTGGGAACAAATAATAGCAAAAAATCACATTTCAATGTAATATTTCATAGTTAAACTATTTTGTTTTACTCCAGTAGGATTTACATAATTGCATCATTAAATTTACATTCTTGAGACTACCCTCTAATGGGTGTCATAACTTCTTTGCAGTATGCCACAGCTACATTCTCACTTGTATAACCTTTTGGATGAAGATGTTTATAACAAGACTCACTTATGTCACTGGTTTGGCACTCCTGATAACTCTCTTTTTCTCTGTCTCTCTTTTTTCTATCCCTCCCTGGGGACTGAAGCTAAAGTTTTGCACTTGCTAGGCGAGTGCTCTGCCATTGACCTACATTCATAGTACTTAAAAATAATTTTTTTTGAGACAAAGTCTAAGTTGTCCAGGTTAGCTTCAAACCTGTGCCCCTCCTGTCTCAGTCTCCTGAGTAGTGGAGATTATAGGTGTGCGCTGTAATGGTCTTGGTTGTATAGTCACCCTTATCTTTTCACTTGCCATTATAAAAATTTTAAGACTCCCAAAAGTGAAATGGAATTTGAGGAAGCCATAAGCATTTGCAGTTCCCTCCTCTCCCATGTGTCTCACAATTCCCAGGGCTAGGGTTCCAGCCCTGGGTGGGCTGGCTCCTCTGCACCTGTCAGCTGGGGTTGTTTTGTTGAAATCTTTGATGGCTGATGTTCTGCCTTAGCCTCAGGACCTCCTCGTGGCTTCCTGAGGTAGCTGCTTCCTCTGTCCCTCTTCTTATCATTCACACATCTGCTGCCCGCCTCCGGGATCAGGAAACAAATGGTCAGGCACATGTGTCTCCTTTTGATTCAGCACGTTGGTGATGGCAGTAGAGGTAACTCAAGATGCTCACTTCTTTAAACTCAGAACTCTCTGGACAGGTCAGCTGCATCTAAGAATAATTCTTCTGATTCCAGCCCTTGGGTTTGGTGGGTTGGGACATTTGTCTGGCCTTTTCATTTTTTTTCTCAATTTTTATTTTTCATTAGTATATGTTTGTAGTACATAATGATCACACTCTTCCTCATCTGCTGCTGTGCTCTCATTTTACTCAGAAACTATCGAGTGCCTACTACCTTCTGGGCATTGATGTAAGTAATCAGAGGGGCATTTTCTGTGCACAAGGAGCTTTCATTTCCATGACAGATAAAGTCCATAAATGGGCAAATAAGTGTATACACAAGGTACTTTCAAGTAATAGTAAGTGCTGAGAGAAAATGAAGTGGGGTCATTGACAGAGAGTGTCTTTGGGAGGGGAGGAGATACCTTGGATTGGAAAGCTGGGAAAGTGTTCTTGAAAACCTGTGTGGGGAACAGCATTTGAGCTGGTGGGAAGCTCAGGCAAAGGGAGTGAATGGCACAGAAAGGCCGGCAGGGGCTGGGTTTCGGGAGGCGTGGGAGGCCATGGCAGGCAGATCTGACATTACCTGATTCTGTGCATGTTGAGATCACGTCTGTTTCTGCGTGAAGAGAAGCTCACAGGCGGTAAAGGTGGAAGCAGAGCTGTGTTCGGGTTGCTGTTCAGGAGCCCACCTCCCAGGTGGTGGGGGAGACAGGACTCTGGGGTCTGGAACCTAGGAGGCTGGAGGACAGTGATGCCCCAGCAGCTCACGCACGGCCTCCCTAGGGTGCATGATTCCCTTTATGATTTCCTTTCTTTAACAGCAGCTCTTGGTTCTCTTGATTCTTAGCTGTCTTCTTAAACTTTCAGTGAGTGTTGGCTTTGCCTGGATGTGAAGGACGGAAGAAAGCTCATGCATGGACATTTCTTTTCTTCTTGGCCCAGACCCCCGTTTTCAGGAGCACTTCAGCCAAGAGTAGAGTAGACCTTGACATTGTGCGCATGCGGCTTGATGCTCCCTCCTGTCATTTACCATGGCTTTCTCTTTGTGTCATGC